TATGGGGAAAAATATCACGAATAGTGTGCTTATGGTTTGAATAAAAACATTTCATTGAATAAAAAAAAGATGTTGGACGACGTTGCATAAGGCATTCATAAATCATGTTGTAAATTTAAATTTACTAGGGTTAGGTAAATACAAAATTAACAACATGATGATTTGCATTTACCTCCCCCTAGTAAAATCAAAATTTACATGATACAAAATTAAAACAACGAATTTCAGGACGCGTTTAATTGACCAAATATCCCTGTAATTATACTTGATTTTCAATATCTAAAAAGTGGATTTTTTGCATTAATGAAAGAAATATAATGAATATTACCCAAAGATTTTAGAAAGCAAACCCAGCCCATCCAGTATTGTCAGTCCGTGCTGAATGTTGTCATTTTGTAAAATTCTCTGCCATCCGGTAAATTAACAGTCATATTGTAAATTTCGTATTTACTACCACCCTGTAAATTCAAGGTTTAAAACATGACATTAGTGTACATGTACATGTATATATATAAGGAGGTAACAAATTAATTAAAACACCAAATTGGAAATTTTATTCAAAATGACATAGATTCAGTATGCAGACCCTTTTTAAGTTTCTGACATTTTTTATGTCCCCGTAATCGAAGATTCGGGGTAAATAGCATTTGTCCTGTCCGTCTGTCTCTCTGTCTGTTCATCTTGTTGTCTGTCCGTAAAAACGTTGACATTGCCGATAACTTTTTAATGCATTAGACTGCGGCTTTTGGCTTTTACAATTCACAGGTGCGTTCTTTCATAGGGCACCACCAAATTTGACTTCTTGATCTTGACGTTGGGGTTTGACCCACTTTTACCAAAAATTTCCAAACCTTAACCTTCGCCTTAACTTATGAACAGTTGATGCGGGAATTTTCATACTTTACATCAGTATTCATTGTGACAATATCTTTCTAAGGGTAAAAATATATTTGACCTTTTGACTTTGACCTTAGAGTTTGACACATTGTGTTAACAAACTTTAACCCTGGCGATAACTTTTGAACAGTTTGTTCTAGGGCTTTCATATTTGACAGATGTGTTTCTTGTGACAAGGTTTTCTATTCTGAATAAAAACAATTTTGACCTTTTCACCATGACCTTGGGATTAAACTTACATTTGAGAAACTTCAATCTTTTCTATAAGCGCTGCCATACGGGGGCATCAATGTTTCACAAAACAATTTTTATCTTTTTTTCACCAGATCCTTGTTACATAGAAATAAGAAGTTCAAAATTTAGCAGCAAACTTGTAATTTTTCAGCTTTATGTTGGTGAAACTTGAACGCTTTAGATTTTAAATTGACTGGGTGGCAGTAAATTCAACATTTAAAACATGTCAGACCAATTTCAAGTGTTTTTTAAATGATTATTTGTAAATGGGTTGAATTTGAATTTCTTTTGATATTTTTTACCTCGCCTAAATTGAAAGTTTTAACAAAACATGTTTACAATAGTTTCAATTGAAGTGTATAAAAGAAAATAAACTCGTGATGCTGTATTGAAAAAAAAACCAAACAAAAGGCATCTTAAAGGCATATTCATAATACAGTAACTAAAAAAGATGGATTGAGTTGATTAAACAAGCCCCATTTATGATCAAAGTTACAAAATATGCAACACTAAATAATACATTGATATAAAGTTAATAATTAATATTAGTTATAATTATGAAGTTGTCATGATATACTTTGTATTGAGTTAAAACGGCATTCAAAATTTCCCAAGAGAAACAAATTACCAGTAAAGAATGGAAATATATTGTCTTTTATTAATTTTTAATCCAAAGTTGAAAATGATTACATGACAAATTAGATAGAAAAACATTAATTAAAGATAATATTACTCTTAATATATAAAGGTTCAAGTTCAAGTTCAATTTCATTTATTTCACTCACACCAATATCAGTGGTACATGAGGTACAATATATGAATTAGTCGTCATAATTGTAAGAAAAATGATAAATATAATTATGATACAATAGCGTAAATATGTGCAAAGTATACATGTAGCAGTAAACATACAATAAAAAAAATAATTAAAAAAAAGAACAGAGGGTATGGTAACATTTAAATTATGGAGGACAGACGGTGTCGTTTATCTTAGATATAAATATACAAAGGTTTTTTAAAGATTTTAAATTTGTCGTTGACATAATTTCACAAAACTTAAGTGTATTTGGCGTTTTACAATATCTGGGTTGTAAAAGATTCTTTCTGATACTATTCAATGTTTTACATTCTAAAATGAAGTGAAATTCGTCTGCTATTTGCCCTGTATTACACAATTTACAAACTCTTTCATCTAATGGAATATTTGACCATCTACCAGTTTCAATTGGGAGGAAGTTGTTTGAGGTTCTAAATTTTATTAATATTTTTTGGAGTTTACTAGGTAAATTACTTAGATATTTTTCACATCCAAAATCATTCTTAAAAATTTTGTTAATTTGACCTTTTGATGGATTATTAATATCACTATGCCATTTTTGAATAAACTGATCTCTTAATCTTTGCTTCACTGCTGCAAGTATCCAATTTTTGTCAATGGAACTTTGTTCATACCAAATGTTAGAGAACCCACAAGAGGTTAAAATTTTATAAATGAAATCTACCCATGGGTTTTTAGGACCTCCTTGAAAATATTGAGAACATAGATATTTATACAAAACACAAACTATTTTGTTTTCTGAAGAATTCGGGGTAAGCAATTTTAACCAGTAGGAGATCATTCTTGCAAAAATATTAATATTAATATACAATGGGAATCGCCCAGTCTACCCATATACCATATACGAGGGCGTACTACTCTTTAAATCAAAAATATGTTTTAAAAATTTTAAATGTACATTTGTTCATAAATTCTATGTTTCCGATGATTTTGACATGAGGGCGTCATTATACCCCCCTCCCGCTTGAAAAGCGGGAGTGTATATAGTAATCGGTATGTCCGTCCGTCCGTCCATCTGTATATCCGTCTAGCTGAACGTCCATCCGTCTGTCTGTTACGCTTTGGGGTACCCATCTCTTATCCGCAACTCCTCCCATACCACTGAATGACATTTGATGAAACTTTCACAGAATCTTTATTACATTTTGCCACTGTGCAACTCCTTTTCTATTTTTCGATCCGATACATATTTTGGGAAACAGGGACACTCCAATTATACTCATATGGGAGGCGGGTGTATCATTTAATTAGCTCATTGCTCACAGTACGTCTAGTTTATATTTAAATGCTAAAGTGAATGAATATTTTAGATATCATGTAGGTAGTTTGTCCTATTTAAAAGTGGTACCTTATTTCGCTAAGATTGAGAGATAATTGTGTCATAGTCATATGTAGGCGCGTAGATATTAGCATGTCTACACTCTTTCATCGAATGGAAATTCTGTATACTCATACATTCTTTTCTGTTAATTACATGTAAGCACGTAGGAAGCAAAGTTTTGGGGTCACAACCAAACAGAAACTAATGAAGTCAAAACTATAGTGTAAAATAATACTAGTATTGGTTTCCTATCATTAAGATGTATTTCAAATCAAGCATATGATTAATAGTGAAATTGAACTATGTGCATGTGTTTGTGCATTTTTAACAGAACATATCCCCTTCTCGCCCACACACATATTTATACACAAGATTAACAGAGCGGCAAGTCTGTTACTTTAACTGGTATTAGTTAAACCAATATTCAGTGATGCTTTTGTGAAACTAAGGCTCAATATGATTTCTTTTAAACAATATTTATTTCGAAAACTGTATAAATTGGACAAATAGACATGCAATGCCCATACATGCATTTAAACGAATTTCATTTAGAGGAGTATTCTATTTTGTCGTTTTAATGGAAACTAGAGGTACTGTGAGCAATCACCGCACTAAATAACCCCCCCCCCCGCCTCCCATATAATGGCAGTGTACATGTTTTGCTATGGGAAACCCAAAATATGTGTCAGACCAAAAAGTAAAATAGTAGGTGCACGATGGCAATATGTAATAAAGTTTCTGTGAAAGTCTCATCAAATTTCATTCAGTGGTATGAGATGAGTTGCGGATAAGAGATGGGTACCCAAAAGCGTAACAGACGGACGGACATACCGATTACTATAAACCCTCCCACTTTTCAAGTGGGGGGTACGATAATACCTTTGCAGTACTCTCTTCGTACTTGTAAGGAGCTGTGCGATTTCGCTGCCCTGCTAATTACTTCTTTTGGACTTCTTTTATTTGAAACGTTGAGGGAGCTATAGGGGCTGATTAGGAGGGCACATACTCATAATTAGTTTTCAAGTATATGCTAGAAAGTTTATTTGCTAATTTAAGTGCTTATTTCAGAAATTGTTTATAAGTAACTTAATAATCAATGATACATCAAGAGAAATTCCCACTTTGGCAGAAACATACCTACAAATGGAGAAAACGTTCTATTCTCAGTTAAGTATTTTATTCTCATCAAAATTATATATAACTGCATGTTAAATTTCATTACAGGTATGAGATCCTTTTAATTTTTTGCAGAACAGAACAAAATAATTCTTTAGCACTTAAGCAATTTGTTGATGACTAAATATTTATGAATGTACATGTATTTGATAGGCCGTATTTTATGTGACGCGTGAATTATACATGTGACAAAACACCAACGTGGTTTAGCAAAGCTGTTAAGTAGGTCACAATATTCATTAATATATCTCCATATATCTTACATTAAGAACAATTTTCACGTGTTCCTTTCATTAAATGCTTTTATTAAAAGTCACGACTTCCGTTCTTCAATGTAATAGGCTCAAAATTTATAATAGACAATAATTAAAAGCTAATTGTCTAGCTAAATTAAGGAAGGATTGAAAATATATTCATCAAAATACTACCGGCCAAAAACAATAAATGTAAAATCTACAAGTCAATGTCTAGCGAAAACCGACGACGACCTGGCATCTAGTGCTTTTGTAAAGAATTTAATTCAAGACAAAGAAATAAATTTTAAATTTTTATTTATACGTGTAACAATATGTTCAATTAATAACAACAATACGAACACACATTGTGTATCCAATAAATACAATAAATATATATCAACATCGGAATTCAACTGACTTAGAATATACACATTGAAAGACAAGGGCCTCATGTAGCATTAAAATACAAGGCTGTCTGGGACTCTTCATATAAAATGTTAGCACCATTAAAAACAACAAGAAAATAACAACATCCAAAGAGAGGGAAAAATTCGACAAATGTCGAAAACAAATCACAGAGCAGTCTCCCCAAAGAGTATTTTCTCCTGCACCGCGAAATCAAAAGGGGAATGACTTGTGCCATTGATCAAATAATCAATGAGTCTCATTATGTAGTGCCGCGAAAGATCACTCTTAAACCAGGAAATGAATTGGAAAAATCCAACCAATCGCAGCTCTTTTAACATCCTTGTTGTACACAATTGAGTAACTTCATCCAATACCGATCCGGAAAATATCAACAAACTACCTGTTATAGAATCCTGGAGCGTTTTCGCTCGAATGTTTCCACAAAATAATAAATTGTTAATGTTACTGACTCCAGGAAAAGATTTAAAGATTCCGGAAAGTCATTTGTGAGGAAGGCCCATTATGGGATAAAAGCGATAAATTATTTTCTGGTGGAACTGAAAAATCCGGATTTGGTGCCCAGTAAAATCCGTTCCCGTTGTCGGAGGCGTATAGATGCTGCACCGTTATTTGTGACTCCCAATCTGTCTTTGAGTATGAGTACTGAGATTCAGAGCCTGCAAAGCAATAAAGAAAAAATCAATGCCTGAAGGATTTGAGAAATGATGCTGACATACATTTAATTTGTATTATCAACCACAGAATATGTTTAAAGTAAAAACTGATTTTTAAAAAGTTTTATTGTTCAATGCTATATCAATAATATCATATGCAAGGTACACGATTTTAGCAATTCATCCCCCACCAGGCGAGGATCAAAAAAGATTTACAAGTTTAACATTACAAAAGAAGGAGGAGGATCCAAAGATCCAAATGATACTTACGTATATTATTAACGGCCGAGATGTAGCGGACAATATCTTGGTGCCCCTTATTTTGAGCTTCATTTAGCGGGGTTCTGGATTTATTGTTGACAATACGGAGGGATGCACCACTTTCCACGAGGAGTTGAACCAGGAGGGAAAACCCCCTATAGGCTGCTAGGTGACAGGGGGTATCCCCGCTTTTCGTCTGTTGATTAATGTTTGCTCCGTATCTTAAAAGCAGCCTGGAAAGCGATAAAAAAGAAACATATAAATTACAGTGGAAATAACCAAATCTGGGTAAAATATACATATTCAGCGATTCTTGGCTGTCGTGTTAAAAAAATCGAGCATGCACTTTTTTTTCTATTCAGTCATCATATGCATATTAAAAAGTATCTATAAATTAATGAAGGTTACATTTTAACCTTAAAATATAGCCTACACTTGAGTCTTATTGTAAGTTTTATTTATAGCTCGTTATAAAATTTGCCCTGTAGCAATGGATATAATCATTAAACTGCAATTAATGCATTTTGGTTCAGATATGAATTTTTACCTAATTAAAATAAAAATATTGAACTTACTGTGCCACTTTCACTTGATCATTGTCACAGGCCGCGTGTAAGGGGGATCCTTTCCACGAGGTAAGTATGTTAGGATTTGCCCCTTGTTCCAATAAAGACTGTGCTAATTCCAAATATCCAAGACAACACGCCCAGTATAAAGCAGTCCCGTCGTTCCGTGCAGTTTGTGAATTCAAACACGAAAATTTCCTCTGTGCAAGTAATTTTTTTGCTAATGTAACATTGCCACTACGAATAGCTTCGATTAACGAAATAGCCATCCTTCTCTCTCTCTCTCTAACATTAACTGTTCTGTCATCAAAACGCCAGATATTACGTTTATAATCTAGAAAGTGGGCGGAGCTTGAAAAAAAATACCGCTATCATTAGCGTGCCCTTTAACCAATGATATGGAAGTGGGTCACAGATGTAAGAATGTCGATATATATGACAAACACTTGTAAGTAAAATAAAGGGTCGGTTGTTTTCGATAAGAATAAACTCATTGATAGGACAAGCACAGTTGTTTTTGCCAGTTTGGAAGTATTACATAAATGCGAAGTGCTCTCCGCGAGTTTTGTGCATCCTTGACTTCAAAAACAATTTTTATGTATATTCTGTTTTGTGTATCCTTGATATTTACTGTGTGCCTTCATTTTAATGTATTCATTCACACACCGCGGCATGTATTTTAAAATGCATTTGATCGGCATTTGTTTGCTATTTTACATGACCTTGGGTTATCAATTTTAACCGCAAACAACATGACATTAACATTCAGATTACATTTATGTTCTATAGCAAAAACGTTTTTTTAAGAAAAAAATTAATTTCATAGGGTTAGAGATTTATTTCTCAGGTTCATTTTGTTGGCCCCGACAAAAAATGAGCCTTTAAAATACATGAAGATAATACGTAATTAAGTTGTATTAATATGATCGGAGCTTTAGATATGAAAATTTACATCAAAAGGCGAGCCTATTTTCTTGTCTGATCGATCATATTCCTGTTTACCGATCAACTTTAACCACACTTCATAAAACTAATAAAGGCCCTTTACCTCAAACAACTTTCTTGGATAAACAATTAGATATATTTGTCTGGAAATTCAGGATATCCGTGTTTCCCAAAGATTATACATTATTTGCACCTTTTTAATTTAATTGGATGTTTGCAATTAACAATTGTTTGAGAATTCAATTAAAACAGTTACAGTAAAACAAAGTAGGATTTTAACCCCATCCCCCCCCCCCTCTCTCTAAATAAATATGACTTCAAGGAAGACTGCATGACTCAAATGAGCAAAAACAATTTCAGTCGCTTAACCTGCATTTGTATAAATATTTAATTGCTACTGCTAGTAAGTGCAAGAAAGAAAGAAAAAAAATCGGCATCATTCAGTAATATACTTCCTGTATCAGCAGAATTTGGCGGGAAATCGATCTCGCTTATTTATTAGTAAGATCTGAATCGCACTCTGTCGCCTGCTACAGCAGATTACGCGCACTTCTCTGAACGCGGAAGAATGTAACACCGAATCGATAAAGGCCTTACGATATTGATTCAAGTTGTTTGTTTATTTTGTTGTGTGTTGGAAGGGAAATGATCGCTCAGCACTTTCCAGGAATTCCTCAAAATACGCAGTTCGGAAATAAAGAAATAAAAGGGGGATATGTATGATTATGCTTCTTTAATCGGATAAAGGAAGGTTAAAATCCGACGTCCAAGTACAAATTCTACGTCAAAACATTTCAAGAGCTTACTAAAAGATACTCTGTTCATTCGAACTATCCAGTTAGTTAATGCCAAGGCTATATGACAATAGGAATAAATCTGAGCATTTTACTAACCTCTGAATACATGTCATCGTGTAAGTTGGATTTTGAGATGAGTTTGCAGAAAAAAATAAATTGATATGCATGTTTGTATCAAAATCATTGATTTGTTAGCATTATACTTTTTGCACTTGTCTTTATATTGATTAGTATGCAACATATTGGTTACGTTTAGATTGATTTACAAGGAAATACACATATAATCTCTTTGAACATTTCTATTTTGTAGTTTTCCAATTCACCTTTTTGACTAACCTTTGTACAATTTAAAGAAAAGAAAGTAACATTAAAAAAATATCAATTCAAAATTTCCTTTGGATTCCATTCAACCTTTGGTCTTTCCGATTTAATTGAAATTTATGTTTGAATAGAAAATGTGGTTTCGTCTAGAATCGATAAATATACTTTCCCGCAAAAAAAGCTAGCTAGCGGACTTAAATATATATTACAACTTAACATAACTAAAACGAAAAGATATATATGGAATTTGAATAAATTTACAATTTAACAGAATTAAAAAGAGAAGATATGTGAAATTTGAATATTTTTTCAATTATGCACGCAGCTAGGACTTTGAGAGATACGGTTTACATAAAAAATTATTAAAACATGACCCCAGGGCAACATAAAACCACCATTAAATTGAAGTTAACATGTAAATTACTCCTTCGATCCCGTGGCCGAGGTAGATTTAGTTCAATCAAACAAAAACCAACGCGGAAGACGATTTAGACGATTTTCATTTGATAGGAGATAGCTAAAATCGGAGAAAATTAAGTACCTTTTCGACAATTTTGAATAGCACTTAAAGTTCATATGAACTAAGATTAAAAGTCAATGTGCAGGTTATAAAAACACACAACCAGAAGTTTTTATCGTGGTCCCCATGGGGGTCCACCCCAGTTAAAATTCTTCTTGATAAAAAAGTAAACTCTTACCAGTATTTTTATACCAATTTCTCGTGTTTTCAACTTTTACTTGGTTTATTACAGAATATACATTTAATTTCTCTGAAATCTTCAAATTTTACTGTATCATTTTTACAATTATAACTTGCTTTATTATAACATGTATCACACTGAATACTGGTCTGTAGATACCTCTTAGAAAGACATGATGTTTATCGTGGCTTTTAGATCAAAACAATTTCCACCAAAAGCTGTATCTTGTCAAATACCGTCTTTTAAAATTTGTTAAATCAAAATATTAACGATTAAAAAAACTCCCTCACAAACAGACAAAAGTCAATATGGAACTGTTGATATGTCATATCAACCGTGTGGCCTAAATCAGCCCGAAGGCCGAAGGCTGGAGTGTTGATTTGAAAACATATTGTATTCTGTTAATGTTTTTAAAATATTCAATATGTGATTTCACATAATGTTTCGTGCATTTATATACATTACCCTCTCTTTAAAACTTAACAGAACCAATTTAGGTCATTTCAAAACAAGCAACGATGAATTTTATCTAAGAACCAAAATTATTAAACATGATTGTATTTTTCTATAAAACTAACATTATACATCGTACCTGTAAATGTAACTACCGGCTTGATATGAATTTTTGCATGCTGGTCTGATACGTAATGGCTACTTGGCCAGGTCATTGATATGGGTATTGTGACGTCATCCATTTCTCACTGTGCGGGATGTGTATGGCACGCCAAATTCACAAAAATGAGCTAAACATAGTTTCACAGTCGATAAAATAGTAAACAACCGTTAAATATAGTTTTACAGATGAAAACTACAGTTAACGAATTGTTAACTATAGTTCACGATTTATAAACTATAGTTTTCTGTCGATAAACCTAGTTTATCATTTGTATTGTAGCATTTTTGTGTATATATATATGGCACGCCAAATTCAAAAATATTCATAGTTTCATAGTCGATAAACTAGGTTTATATAATGTTTACGGATTGTAATCATTTATATGCATTGTAAACTAAAGTTAACGCGATAATCTATGTTTCAGAATTGTAAACTATACTTAACACAGAAAACAATCATTTGCGATTGCAAAACATATATTATCTGATAAATACAGCTTCAAGATTTGTAAACTATGCATGGTTTACAACTCTTAACTATAATTCACGATTGTCAAATATAGTTAACAGACGTGAATCTATGTTTACCAACAAAATCTATTGTTAATGTTCAATTACAGACAGATAAAATTAGATAAGCATTCGTAAACTATAGTAAGCAACCGTTAAATATATACTGAAAGGAAAAAGAAACCTAAAACTTTGAACAGAGCCAAGTTAAGTTACTGTCATCAGTTAACTCAAAAAATTTATGAAGAAAAACGATACACGTGCAATTTGATAAGGACGAGTTTGTCTACAAAAATTATATATATGAGGTATGCACATCGTTTTTCAAATTAAGCATTATTTTTTTCAATCTTGGCACAGTTGATGGAAGTTCAATGTAAATTGCCTAATTAATGAAAAAGGCCAACGGTTTACTAAGCAGTTTCTAAATTTTCCCCCATAAAACTTGTTACCCGTTGTCGAGAGGGTTTACTGAATCTTATTCGTTTTGTTTAAAAAAAACAGCCATTTATACAGTAGACGAGTATAATCATTACATTCATACGAAATTTGAAAGAAAACAAAATTTGGTTTTTTGAGCAAGGTATTCACGCATGCGCACGCCGTGTTTACATTGATACATAGCCAGGGTTTGAAAGATCTCACTCTGATGAAATTCCATGCGAAATCCATCAAGAGACAAATGATGTTCAAATTTTTGAGGCTCATCATGCATTTTAATCAAATGCTCTTAAAGATGATTTTAAAAGTTAATTAAAAACCTGAAAATTTAATTCACCTCAAAAGTTTACCCTGTTTAAAAAAATCAGTTAATAAATTGTTAAAGCTGTGTTCTAATCGCTAAAAAAAGATATTCGTTTTTCTTCTTGAAAAAAATTGTATTTTGTCAAATTATATCCCCAAAGTCTTTTTCTCTTTAAAGATATCAAAATTCAAAAGTTTAAAAAATAATTTTTGTTAGGTCACACAAAAAAATAATCACATTATAAATCACCGAAAAATTAAATTTATCCTGTATAATGTCACATTTTTTCCACAACAAAGTCTACACGGGCAATTGATATGAATTTTTGCACATTAATATAAAAATTACTATGGATTATATTCAGTTAATTTCTTAATTTTTAAAAGATATATCATGACTTAGGATTCTACTAATGGAAAAAAAAAATATGGTCATAATTAGATATAACCGATAAAAGTATTTTTTTCAAAGGTGACTTCAAAACAGATCTTAACTTCCCGTCATGTTCACACTATGTTTTCCATGTAAGGATTGTTGTAATAAACTAATAAATCAATCTTATAATTAATTTTTATATATTTTCTGTAATGTACTTTTATTTTAAGATAAAATTAGTTCACGGTTTGTAAACTAGAGAGTTTATCAATTGTGAAACTATCTTTAGCTCACTTT